AAAAAAAAAAAAAAAAAAAAAAAAAAAAAAAAAAAAAAAAAAAAAAAAAAAAAAAAAAAAAAAAAAAAAGAGAGAAAGAAAGAAAAAGAAAAGAAAATTAACTTATTTTGGATTCTTGGACCTTGAGAGCTGCAAGGAGCTTCCAAGAAACTGTGCCAAGTATTGAGGCTGGCAGAGGGCTACAGCTAGGAAGAGGCCATAGGGCATTGGGCTAGTCCCTTCCCTGTCTGGGTCTCAGTTTCCTCATCTATGTAGTGATGCCTGAGGGCCCACCCGGCTTTAACACACTCCCACCCTTCGACTTTTACAGTCCTTCAGTTCCATCTGTGAGTGTTTGTTTGGGGTTGATGATCACTTATCAGTCCCCTTAAGGTTGGAGGGGGTGGGAGCGGCCTCCTCCATCCCAGTCCCTGTCACTGAGAAGCTTGTTAAATGGCTTCCCCAGACACCCATTGCTCCAGAAAGAGCCACCCATCAGAGAGACAGGCAGAATGGCCATTCCAGCTTTTACACCCCCGAGGCCTGGCTCCTGCTAAATATTTCCATCAAGGCAGCACTTGGGAAGCGAGACAATGGCCTCTGTTTAAATGCTTTATTAGCCCAGTGTGCCACCCCAGGTCTTTTTTGGAAGCGGGGCGGGTATAAATTTCAAATAAATAAATAAATAAATAAGCACAGGAGCAGCCACTGGGGCCACGAATCAGAAAGATGGTTGAGGCTTTGCCATTTGTCGGGACGTCCTTTACAGATTTCCTGCCTGTGGCATAAAGGACTCGTGGGCTGACTTCATTGTTCATCAGGAAATCTGATACTGCCCACCCCACTCTTGCCACTTGAGGCTTAAATTCCACAGAAGAGAATTTTTTTCCTATCCTCTCTGTGTTACATGGGAGATGCAGAAATGATAGATTTTTCTCTCAAAGAACTAACTGAATTTAGGGACAAAGGAAGTGAAAAAAAAAAATGACCAGGACCAACAGCAGAAAGGACAGGAAGGGACATGTGTGAAAGTTCAGCAGCGGGAGCAGTTGCTGTGAGCTGAGGAAATCAGGGAAGGCTTCCTAGAGAAAAAGACCAAATATAACTAACTACCTCTGAAAACCGGGCCTGGTTTTGCAGTGCCACTGACATGCCCTAGTTGTTCACAGCAGGTCTTAGGTTGGGTCTCCTGGGAAACAGACTGTGGGATGGAGCCAAGTATGCAGGAGTTTCCTGGGGACTGCTCTTGGGAATAGCCCCTTTGAGGGTCTGAAGGAATGCAGAGGGAGAGGGCAGCCATGGCAGAGGCCTCAGTGATCCCAGAGGGAGCCCTGGAGCCAGAATGATCCTTCAACATAATCCTGAATGGAAGCAAGACGCCTGGGCCTTTGTGGCCTACAATGACCAGTCAACCTCTGTAACCTTGGCGAGAGGCAGGTTCTCAGCTGGGCACTGTCAGCAGCCACTGTTCTGGCAGCTGGAGGGATGAAGGGGCTCCTGGGGAATGCACCGCAGCATCTGCTGCAGAGGGAGGCTGGCAGAGAAAGTTCTGCAAGGGGCTTTATCATCCACTTATGAATGCATTTACTGAGCACCTGCATGACAGACACTCAAACACACAGGAGACCAAGACTCAGTCCCTTCCTTCCAGGAGCTTGCAGTCTAGTGGGGAGACAGGCTCAAACAGCTATCACTTGGCAAAGTGTTAACTTCCATCTTCAAGCTGCATTGAGCATGATGAGAGTCCAAGGCAAAGAGTAGTTCTGCCCAGTTGAATCAGGGAAAACCCTCCAAGGAGGGGCCATGAGTCAGGCCTGGGCCCATGTGCAGGAACTCACTGGGCTGAGAGGGAGAGAGGTGTGTTCCAGGTAGGGATGGGGGGATAATAGCACATCCTCCGAACCAGAGCAAGTCTTTGTTATCCTGGGCTAGGCAGCTGGCTCCTTGAGGGGCCAGTGACACCTGCCCTCCCGCTTTGCCTCTCTCCAGCTGAACCACAAAATTAGCAACATGGACGACAAGGTGTATAAGATGAGCCGAGCCCTGGCTGAGATCAAGAAGCGGTTTCAGAAGACAGCGGCTCAGTTCATTAATTCTATCTTGCTGGCCGCAGGTAAGGAGGCTAAAAGGTGGGCGAAGGCCTATCTGCTGGCTTCCCCAGTCCTTTGACTCTGATAGGCCGTCTCAAGGGACAGACCTTTCTTCAAGCACCACCCATTCCATCTTCAATCTGAATCTCCAGGGAAGTAGGCATGGTAGAGAAATTTCCCCATTTTAGGTGGGATCATTGGTCTCAGGTCACTTAAGGCCACACAGCTAAGAATAGTGACCTGGGCCCACTGGCATTTCTGAGCTCTCTCCCAGTGTGTCTTGCATGTCCCCATGTGATTATCTTATTTTTCTGGGTCTCTCAGTGGCTGTGTCCCTCTTGCTGTCCACCCACACCTACATTCACCTTTCAGCTCCAACTCTCATATCACCCATCATCCATCTGGAGCCCCTGCTCCCTTCTTCTTTTTGTGGATCTCAGAAGAGAAAAAACAGTTGCCTCTCCAGGCTGTCTCCCGCAGACATCCCCTAAGGCCAGCATGGGTGGCCTCAAGATCCTTCCATGTCTGAGCTCCCCCCCTCACTGCTGATGGGCCTGGGAACAAGGAGACATTGACCCCTATTCTGTGCCACCACCTGGCTGAGCATGGAGGGGCTGTGCTTCCTCCACTGCCTCTCTGGGGAGTTTCTCCTTGTCCCTGGAGACTTCAATTGACCCCTCCTCTGGGAAGCCTTCCTTTACTTCCCTAGCAGAATGAGTCACACCTCCTTTGGGCTCCCATAGCACTTAATTATTTATTTTTTCTTTTTTTTCCCACACAAGTGAAAGAAAGGATACCATAGCACTTTATACATGTTCTAGTTATACATCTTACTACTTAGCATTGTGACTATGTCCCCTGTCCTGCTCCTCGGCTGGGAATTTCCAGAGGCTGGGAATTCTGTCTTGGGGTACCTCTGCATGCTCAGCACCCACGTGCAGAAATGCTGGTGAGTGAAGAGACGAGAGGTCTCTGGCCTTAGAAATCTTCCAGTCTAGTAGAGAAAGCAAGACAAAAATATAAATAAATATAATACAACAAAGAAAAAGAAAGTAGATGGAATCAACTTACAGCTAGAGACACAGGGAATAGCATTGTCCATGGACAAGGAATGCATTGTGGAGCTAGCCTCTACATTAGGTGCTGGGGAGAACACAGGCTGAATGGAAACAGGCTCCAGCCTGGGTAGGAAGAGTGAGATTGAAGCTAGGTGTCTTGAAGAATGAGTAGAAAGGAGACCTATGCATTCTTACGTTCTTACAACCCACTGCTTGGCAGTGTCACTGATGAGTGACTGCCCTGGGACAGAAGCACTGTACTGGAAGCAGAGGGGAGGTGCTGAGAACCAGTGAGTGTGGAGGGGAGGCGATGGGGGTGAGCCGAGAGGTATGCTTCGATGTTTCCAGTCTGGGACTAGGGGCAGAAGAGTCCTGGCCATGAAGGGAAAATGACAGTGGCGTCTTCTGTTAACAGGTCTGTTCACCATTGAACATCCCACCAAAACAGAGGAGACAGAATTTGTTCGGTTCAACATGAGATCTGGAACTCATCCCGAGCGGGTCCCCAACCTAGGTTTATACTCAGGAGAAAGTCTTTTACGATCTCAGTCACCCCAACCGGAATCCTTAATTGCAGAGACTTTGAAGGATGAGCCTGGGTCGTCTCCTGTGAGCCCAGTTCGGAAGAAGATCACCAGAATCCACATGAAAGCCAGGGTCAAATCCAGGTTGGCTTGGTCCTTCATGTCTTCCGCAGCATTGGGTGTTGGGATGGGCAGTGGGCACAGGATAGTGAACCCAGCAGATGGGGCCCCTCTCTTTTGGAGCTTAAATTCCAAGGGCAAGTAAAGCGAGGCAATAAACACGTGAACAAATGAAATAATTTTAGGCAGTGATGTGGGCTAGGAAGAAAAGAATTGGAGTAATGGGTTAGGACAGGGGTTGGCTGTGGACCAAATTTGGCCAAGCTGTCAATTTTTTGTGGGTGAGCTAAGGATGCTTTTTATATTTTTAAGTGCTTGAAGGGGAAAAAAATCAAAAGATTTCATGGCAGGCAAAATGATATAAAAATTTAAATGTCAGCCAGGCACAGTGGCTCACGCCTATAATCCTAGCACTTTGGGAAGCCAAGGAGGGTGGATCACAAGGTCAGGAGTTTGAGGCCAGCCTGGGCAATATGGTGAAACCCCATCTCTACTAAAAATACAAAAATCAGCCGGGCCTGGCAGTGGGCGCCTGTAATCCAAGCTAGTTGGGAGGCTGAGGCAAGAGAATCACTTGAACCTTGGAGGTGGAGGTTGCAGTAAGCCAAGATTTCACCACTGCACTCTAGCCTGGGCAAAAGAGCAAAACTCCATCTCAAAAAGAAAAAAAAAAAAATTAATGTTGGTAGGCATAAATCAGGTTTTCTGGGAATACGGCTATACGCACTCATTCCCATATCATCCATAGCTGCTTCCTGATGACAGTGGACACATTGAGGGTCTGGCCTGCAAAGCCTTGAGTATTTACTACCTGTCTCTTTTATAGAGAATGTTGCCTGGCCTCTGGGATAGAAAGTGGCTGGAAAGTGGGGTGGGATGGGCTATGGTAGAGAGTAAGGGAAGGCGGTTCTGAGGAGATGATATTGAAACGGAGGCACAAAGGATGAGAAACAGGTGGCCAGGAACAGACGGGAGGGAACACCAGGCAGAGGGCACAGCAAGTCCAAAGGCACTGAGACAGGAATGAGGTTGGTATGTGTGAGACAGTAAGAAGGCCAGTGAGGCTGGAGTGTGGTGGAGAATGGGACAACGATGTGAATTGAGGACCGAGATGTAGTCAGGAATTTGGTTATGTAGTCTTGATAGTGTTATAGAGGCCATTCCGTAAGGAAGTGACATCATTGGATTTATCTTTATTTTTTTGTTTTTATTTTTATTTTTTGAGACAGGGTCTCGCTTTTTCACCCAGGCTGGAGTGCAGTAGTACGATATCAGCTCACTGCAACCTCTGACTCCTGGCTTCAAGCGATTCTCCCAATGTTATTTTTTTTCTGTATATAATACATGGCATGAATGGGCAAAATTTGTTTATCCATTCACCCACTGAAAGACATTTGGATTGTTTTCAGCTTTTTCTGATTATGATAAAACTACTGTAAATCCTCGTGAGCAGGCATACATGTGAGCATAAGTCTTCATTTCACTTGGGTAAATACTTAAGAGCTGGATTGCCTGGTTTTATAGTAAATGCATGTTTAACTTTGTAAGAAACTGGCAGCTGTCTCCCCAGGTAGCTGTACCATTACGCATGCCCTCCAACAGTATAGGAGAGTTCCAGTTGCTCCCATCTTTTAGCATTTGATATTGTCAGGGTTTGGTTTTTGTTCTTTTTGTTTTTTTTGCCATTCAATAGACAAGTAGTGATATCCCATTATCATTTTAATTTGCATTTCCCTAATAACTAAAGTTGTTGAGCATCTTTTCATGGCTTATTTACCATTCATATATTTTCTGTGGTGAAGTATCCAAATCTTTTGCCCATTTCAAAGTTGGATTGTTTTCTTATTGTGAGTTTTGGGAGTTCTTTATTCTGGGTATAAGTCCTTTATCAGATATGTGACTTGAAATATTTTCTTCAGTGTGTGGCTTAATTTTTTATTCTCTTAACAGTGTGTTTGCAGAATAAAATGTATTTGGATGAAGTCTAATTGATATAGGTTTTTTCTTTTCTGGACTGTGATTTGTTATCATGTCTAAAAGCCCTTTGTTTAACCCAGTGAATCTCAGCCAGAGATGAGTTTGCCCCCCAGGGGACATTTGACAATGTTTGGAGACTTTTTTTATTATCAGGACTAGGGAGTGGGTGCTACTGCCATCTAGTGAGTTGAGGCCAGAGATGCTGGTAAACACCCAGCAATGCACAAAACAGTTCCACATAACAAATCATTATGAAGTCCAAAATGTCAATAGTGCCAAGATTGAGAATCCCTGGCCTAACCCAATGTCACAAAAATTTCTCCTAAGTTTTTTTCTAAAAGCTTATTATAGTTTATGTTTTATATTTAGGTCTATAATCCATTTTGAGTTAATTTTTATATAAGGTATAATGTATGAACTGAAGATTGTTTGTTTTACATATGGATAGTCAATTGTTCCAACAGTATTTTTTTTAAAAGATCAATTTCTCCATTCAATTATCTTTGCACCTTTGTAAAAAATCAATGGGCTGTATTTGTGTGGGTCTCTTTCTAGACTGCTTTGTTAATATGGTGAATTACATTGATATCAAATGTTGAACCAGTCTTGCATTCCTGGGATAAACTCTGCTTGACATAACGTATTATTCTTTTTCAATATTGCTGGATTCAATTTGCAAGTATCTTGTTGAAGAGTTTTTCATCTATACTCATGAGGGTTACTGGTCTGTAGTTTTCCTTTCTTGTAATGTTTTTTTTTTTTTGCTTTATCAGAAAAATGTTGGCCTAATGAGTTGGGAAGCATTCTCTTCTATTTTCTGTTGAATTGGTATTGTTTTCCTTAAATTTTTGGTAGCCTTAGCCAGTGAAACCCTCTCACCTAGAGTTTTCTTGGTAGAATTTTTTTTTTTTTTTTTTTTTAA